GGTTCACCGCGATAGGTTCCATTGCCATTGAAGACCTTTAAAGATATAGGTATTTAGTATTAAATTTATAAAACCACCTTACCGATTGAGACGGCGAGGGCCCTTGATAGGGTTTATCGCCATGGGGCTTTGTGAGGGTTGCTGGGTATGCAAGAGAAATATTCCGAAAGCTTTCCGGTAATTCAAAGACGGGAGGAGGGTCGATAGATATATGGTTTATTATCTGGATGGGTATTTGCACGGCAGTCTCTGAGGCAAGTGACCCAGTTCCAATAGTCACATCAACCACGTAACCAACCTCGATCAATCGGCTCCGTGGTATTGTGATTGAAAATGGCTTATAACCAAGGTCTTAGAAACAATATACCGGGCATACTGTGGAACGCACCGGAATGAGAAGATAGTGATTGAAATCTAACGAAGTCCCTGGATTGACGCCTGTCCACCATCCTTTCGCAGTAGCATGCTTGACTGAGGCGTTTTCTCCAGCCTCTAATGTTGATCTCGCGACGATCCGCTTGACTGTTGATGACTGGTAAGGATGGGCTTCATCACTAACATGGGAAGTAAATGATTCAATCGATGCACCCACGTGTGGCTTGAAGACAGTCTCTGATCGAACCAGACTCAAGGTCAGCGTTCTGACTTTCCTTTTCGTCGAATTATTCGTAACGGATAATTTGATATAACATCGTTGCCCTGCTACCCACGTAGCCCGATGTAAGCTCGCGGTCAATTCGATGGTCCCGGAGCTCCCTGAGGATAGCGATTTCGAGGTCGTAGCAAATAAGGGACTAGGTGCTGCAGCGAGAACGGAGCCTAGGTCAAGTAATGGCCACACTTCAATGGTCCTATAGAAATGCGCGATAGATTTCGCATTCGTTCGTGGATGTTTTAACATAATTGAGACCAGTGCAATATACTGGATTGAAGATCCATTGGTGCGACCTTTGGTACATAAGCGACAGCCTATGGATCGATCACGAACGTACTGGTATATACGCCTTTGGCTACAGGCAGGTTCTTTTGTCGTGGAGGCAATCGCATTGCAAAGGGGAGTAGATACTCTCCTTCTTTTCCCGGATAAAATCCTTCTTCATCAGCAAGGGAAGCGTAGACTTGATGAATAAAGGGCGAAATGTTACTGAGTGGTGCTCCACAGTGATAGAATATGTATCGTTGGTCTTGATAACGAATGGCTAGGTAATACTTGGTCAATATATGATAAATTCTGCAGACCTGAATAAATGTACCTTCGAATCCAATAACTCTGACCTTTCCATCTCCTAGGTATATCGGAACACCTTTCTTCGAAGACCGAATGTTGATGACTACACTTCCTTTCATATATCCACCTTCTATGCATGTGTCACTGTCAAGTTGAAGGTCCAATTCGACTTTTGATTTCGTTTTGGCCTGTTCCAAGGAAACAACTGGGCTAGGAGGAATTACTCTTGGGGTGTCATTTATCTCTGGCTTATACTTGTGAGAGGGTAGCACCCTCGCTTTCGAATCCAGTTTTCCTGAGTGCGCAACCCAAGGCCAAGGCGAGAGCGCAACCCCGCTGAGTTATCATCAACGGTACCTCAGCCTTTACTTGGTAACAAGAATACATTCACAGTCGCGCCTTCTCCTGCACCCATGCGCAGAGGGCCTCGACGAAAACGCAATAATCTAATGGAGGAAACCAATGAGGAAGATGAGGCCTCC